CTTCGTCTTGTACCTGTAACAAGTTGAGTAGCCAGTACAATGGAGTGCAAGCCTTCAAATTGTTCTGCAAATTCAGGTCCATATTAGAAAATAAAAATACACGAATAAACAATCTAATAGTACATTATTTTTGAAGTCTAGAAAGAAAACCACCAAAACTCACTTGCCTTGAAGATTTGAAGAAGCAAAAACGAAATCCATACAAGTATTAGCACCAGAATTCGCTTTACATTAAGGTTGTCCCTCATAATTTGCTGTAAGAATAATGAAAAATTATTTAAAATCCACAAATTAACGGCAGTCATAAACAGACAGTTAAGAAAATCTTTGACTTACCAATACAGTTTTCTCCTCTTCAGGAACCAGTGACTCATACTCGGTATCAATTAGAACTGAGAAATGAAGAGAATAAGAAAATCAGATATTCTTTTTCCTGTTTTTCTAAGAACAATTCTTTAACTACTCTGTAATTATTTATGTTTTTTAAGTACTTACATTCCCCATGAGAATTGACAAAAGTTTTTTGTCTTTCTGCAATTTGTTTCTGCATTTATCGAATCCAAACAAAGTGACATATAGAGTAAGAACCATAAGCAACATACACAATCCGATTATATGTTCCATGTTTGGATAGCTCTTGTAGTCGACCTCAAATTTATTATAAATAAAATTTAATTTGTTTTTTCAATAGCTCTGCAATATTATATTTGCTGTATGTAACCTTATCTTCTTTACAATGATCTGCCTGAACTGTTTATACTGTTTTGATGACATATTGCAACAGATTTTAAATTAAACCAACTAACCTTCAAAATTGTCTCTTCTTTCCACATCTCTATCCCCTTAAAAAAGGACCTTGATGAAGTCCCTGTTGGCAATAAACAAAACATAAAAAAAAAAACCCTTAAATATTCAGTCAAAACTAGTGATGTTCTATAGCTTGTAGTAAGGACCGATGATTAGTGCTTCCTTCCTAAAGAACTCAAACAGCAAATCATTTGCAAATCCCATAGATAACATATATTAAAGTTAAACTAATTATTTCACTGTAAGTTATTTAAGAAATAAAAAACATTTATACAAGAAGATATCATGTCGATTTACCCAAGAAAAGAACGATGATTAAGATTGTGATGAGCCAATAGGGGAAGACAACACTGAGAGCCACACCAAGTGTAATGCCCAGCATGAGCATGGGCTGGAAAACTAGTGACAAATCATAGTCAATTATTGGTACTTCTCTGAATGGATGAGGCACCCTCAAGTTGTACCAAACTGATGATGCCGATGCTCCCATTATCATACCTGCACCAGTACACAGAATAATTAATAAACCAAAAATCTTCAATCACAATTTTGAGTTTTAAAACAACTGATTTTCAATTACTCGACCATAGTTTCGAGTTCGTTGTTCATAGAAGAACTGATTAATTTAAGAATGAAAACACAGTAAAAAAAACATCTAAGACATAGCCAATTAAAATTATCAAGAACAAGTCCATTACATTTTGACATAGCAGCTGCAGATTTGGTATCAAACCCAACAATCAAAGTAAGCATAGGAACAAAAATGCCTCCTCCACCAACACCGCCCACCGTTCCACAAGCTGAACCCAAGAATCCTATTATAGTTGCCAATACAATTCTCCAACTAAACCTCAATTCCTGTACCCAAAACGAAGGATAAAAAAGTAAGAGACAAAACGACTTCTCAGCAAATTAAAGAGATATAAATATCCTGAACATAACCATTAGAGTTAAACACAAACACATAAAACTCTCATATACATGTATGTGAGTGTTTTTGTAAGAAAAACGCATACGAACCGGCCAAACTTTGGAATCAGGTCCTGAAGAATTTTGTAAAACGTTTGAGGTCGAACATGAAAGAACCACGGGTCCGCCATTGATAGAATGGTTGTTGATAAAGTGCACAGACAGAATAGCCAGAGAGAAAGCCGTTATCAAATACACCACGAAACCTTTTGTTGCCATGGCCAACAACAGTTATGCTTCGAACTTTAAACGCCAAACTCACACCCCTTGCCTTTATGTACTCTCCCTTTAACGCACAAATAAACACCAACTAATGAGACTCTGCATATATAGAGAAAAAATTAGCCCTTATTTATTTGACGACCATTGTCATTTTTTATTTCATAAATTCATTTTCAATTATACGTTTTTGTAATAAAATATTTTTTTATACAAAATTCAAAAAAATTCTTTACTTTTTAATCACTCTCTTAAAATAATATACTATTCAAAAACTCAATGGAATATCAACAAAACTATAAAGGTATGTTCGATTGGCTTTATTTTTATGAAAATGTCATTTTTTTCATCCAAATTCCTATTTTGGATATTTGATTAACATTTTTTTCTAGAAAAAATATTTTCCAAAAATTAGTTACGTGGCCATATTTTTTTAAAAAAAAAAACATGGAATTTTTTTCTCCAACGAGGGATAAATTTTTATTTTTCAGGCAATTCACTCTCTCATTTTCCTCATCTCTTTCATTCACCATGCAATAAAGGAATGACAAATATAACATTTTTAATTAATAATTTTCGTGTAAATAAGTTCTAGACAATTCAATTGCCTAAAACTTATTTTATTTCCATAAGAATTCTATTCTTTCAATAAAATGAGTGTGTTTGATTGGCATGAAAAATATATTTTAAAAAAGATAATATTTTCTTTATTTTGAGGAAAACAAAAACATACACCACCTAAAGAAAATGTTTTCCTTAAAAACAAGAAAAATTATGCATATTTTTAAAAGTTGAAAAATATTTTTCATGAAAAAAATAACAATCAAACATACCCTAAATGTAGCGAAATTGAAATAAATATTCTCGAGCACGTGACAAAAATATACATGAAGATATTGATACGTGGCATAATCACGGTCGTCATCCACATCTAATGGTTTCGTTATGAGGCTTGGTTTGAGGGGATTAATAACTCAAATGGTCACTGAACTTTGCAAAAAAATTTCACAGGGTCATTGAACTTTAAAAATCATCCAAATCATCACTAAACTTTGCAAAATGTTTACACGATGTCACTGAATTTTAAAAATCATCACATTCATCACTAAACTTTGCACACATGGTCACTGAACTTTAAAATCATCACATTCATCACTAAACTTTGCAATAATTTTTTTGTAAAGTTCAGTGACTATTTGGATTATTAACCCGGTTTGTGGAATCGCAATTTAATTGAACTTATCCGAATATATCAATTATAAATATACTTGCACGGCAATTTTAGTGCAAATAACTAAACACGAGAAAGAACAAATTTTTTAACATATTTATCTTCTTCTACACTATTCCGATAGATTCAGTCGAATATCCTTACAAATTTCCTCTAAAATTTTACAAATAAAGAAAATGCCAATTGATGATTGAAAATTGAAATATAACACATAGCGACATATATACTTTCCACGTGATATTTTGATGCAGGATTTTCCAAGAAGGTTCCTTCGGCATTTCTAATTTTCTATAATGGGAAATTTTGACCCAATGTAGCCAACTAGGGTTTGTCTCGAGTCATTTCACAGTTGATGATTGGATAACCAAAGATAATGCACTAACCATTATATTTTACATGTGCGACAATATATATAGCCCCCGTTTGGCCCCATCATTTCAAATTAAAATGAGAAGAATAGTAATTTTTTGGAGAATGTGTGGTTAAAAATATATATATATTTTTAAATTTACGTGTAATATTATTTTATGAGAGTGCGTGATTGATTAAAAGAGAGATAAAATGAATTATAATTTAATGAGGAATAATAAAGGCCAAACGGGGACATAATATTATTAAAATCGACTTTTAATAGTTTTTGGCCATTGTCAAATTGTCATTATTATAGTTACAATCACTGTCTGCAAGTAGTCTATCATAAATGATAATTGTTAGCGATTACGATTATCGATTACAAGAAACTATCATAGGCTACAAAAACAAATGTACGTTTATTACATAAATATGGTTCCGTGTTACTCGATTAGTCCATTTGGACCTTCAATTTTTGGTTCATGTCAATCTACTAATATAGAAAAAGATAGGAAAAAAAAAAACAAGAACCATAACGATCGACTCTGGATAGCCCAAAAGTTGAATCCAATCCCCAATCAAAATTCGAAATGAATAATGCTACTTGTACGTAAACAAATGATGTGTCAAAAAGAGGGAGAAAATTTTTATTTTTATTTTCGGCTGAAGAAACTCCGACTTAATCATATATCTCACTTAAATAGCAAATTCCACAACCAATGTTAAATAGCAAATATTCTTGAATCATACTTGGCGTACACCATTATTTACACTTTTATCACACGATAAACTATTTTTTCATCCAACAACTTTTCGACAAAAATACAAGCGTCAACAAAAGTGTAAAAATTGTGTGCACAAATAACACAGTCCAATATTCTTACGGGGCATTGGACATATGATTCTGAAAGCAGATGATTCTATTCACATTCCATGAGTAGCCAAGACATTGAGAAATATTCCGAAAGCCATCGATTGCAATATCAGTTCCTTCCGTTTGAAAAAGGAAGGATCCTTCAGTGGAGTTACTGGAGTATGAAGCTCAAATTTAGTAATTTTATGAAAATTTACCAAAATATTAATTTTTATCTAATCGGGACTCGAGCTTATTCAATAAATATTTTAAGCTTATCAAAACCGGTGAACGGAAGTTGGTGATATTTTCAATCGGGGAAGCAAAATATGCATTCAGCAGAAATGTTGAATTTTTCTAAAAAAATAATGTTTTTTTACCCTTTAGGTGGGCCCAACAATAACACAAAAATGTAGTCATGCTGATACAAGAAAGCAACGGGACATGAATTTACTCATGAACGAAGTTAGCAAAACTCAGAAACAGTATACAACATTGATTCAAAGTGTTTCACGAAATCAAAAGGACCATAAAAAGTAGTAATTGCTCCGTTGTAAGTTTAAGCAGATATTACATTTTCTCCTTTCGCACCAAAAGCACACGTGCGACGCCCTCTTCATCGAGCCTTCCAACGTCGTTGAATGTCTGTCCAGACAGCTGATCAGCCGCTTTCAAGGTGGAAGCCGTCGTCCCAGCTGGTGTTTCCTCCAGATCAACCACCATCTCCACCTGAGTTCCCTCCGGATCCGCAGCCACTCGCTCCTCCTTCGTTGCTCCCGTCTCGTCCCTGGTTGGATGAGGCGTCAGTTTGTCGGCATCCTTCACACTCCCTAAGGCGCCAAAAAGACCTCCACCCTTAGCCTGACCATTTCCCCTAACAGAAGGGAGTGCATTCAAGTTCAACAATGAGTAACTTAGAATTCAACTGCAAAAAGTATCCCCAGCTAAAAAGTTACCCTTCTGTTGCAGCTTCTCTTTCTCCTGCTCCTCTCTTTCTGGCATCATCTCTATCGCCCTCTTCTTTAATCTTCATCTCCTCCATTTTGCACCTTGCTTCTTCCTTCGACTCTTCATACTTCTCCTACAGAGAACAAATGTAAAATCTGTTATAATTACACAGCAGTTCAATAAACAATACCGGTGATCAAAACGCATCTTGGATCCAAGATAAACTAATCAGAATTAAGCAAGAAAACTGTTACAATGTATTGTATTTGACAAATTTCTAACCTTGGCTTCTTGTCTGGTTTCTTCAGCCTTTTGCTTTACAGCCTCAGCAGTTTCTTCTGTCTTTTGCTTTGTCTCCTCTCTCTTCCCTGTAATATAGCCCATAGCCCACCTTGCCGCATCAGCTGCAGAATCCTTAAGTTCTGTGATCTTCCTAACAGTAGTATCCTTTCCTTCCTTGGCTTTCTCAGCATTGTAGTCTTTGTACTCACCAGCTTTCTCCATTGTTGTATCCTTAGCTTCCTTTGCTTTCTCCATAGTCGTATCCTTCTCCTGCTTTGTCTTCTCAGCTGCATGGTCCATCGTATCCCTGGCTCTCTCCGCAGCATAATCTTTGTATTCGCCTGCTTTTCCCAGGGTCGAATCCTTCGTGTCCTTCACCTTCTGGGCAGCATAATCTTTATATTCCACAGCTTTGCCTAATGCAGAATCCTTAGTCTCCCTGGCCTTCTCCGCTGCAGAATCATTAATTTCCCTAGCCTTTTCTTCAGCAGAATCTTTAGCCTCCCTAGCCTTCTCTGAGGCCTCCTTGGCTTTTTCTGCCGCATAATCTTTCGCTTGTTTTGCCTTTTCTGCAGCAGAATCTTTAGCATCTCTCGCCTTCTCAGCGGCCTCCCTAGCCTTCTCCGCTGCATAATCTTTGTACTCCCCAGTTTTTCCCGCAGCAGAATCCTTGCTCTCCCTTGCCTCTTCTGCCGCATAACCTGCAGCTCGTTTTGCCTTCTCTGCAGCCGAATTCTCCGACTCTTTCGCCTTCTCTTCAGCCTCCTTAGCCTTCTCCGCCGTGTAATCTTTATATTCCTCAGTTTTTCCTGCAGCAGAATCCTTATACTCTTCCATTTTCTCAGTAGTTTCTTGAGATTTCCCCATCACAGCATCCTTAGCATGTTCAACAGTCCCTTGAACTGACTTGATAATGCTTCCAATAACACCAGGTCCTCTCTGTTCATGATGATACTGAGTCTCATACTCCATTTCACCTTCTTGTTCTCTCTGTTTTCTCTCTCTGTTCACATCACCGAGCTCATCTGCTGCAGTCCTCGCAGCAGCTTCAGCTCTTTCTTCCTTCGCCGCTTGCCTTGAAGCCATTTTCCCACTTCCAAGTCACTAAATTATCCCCAGAAACTGAAATTTTACTCCCAAAACGCAGCTAAAATGCTCTGTATAACTATAACGAGAGAAATTTATTTTCTTTTTTTAGGGAATTAAGCGAGTGGGAGAGATATATGAGGTGATAAAGTAAATTTGCAGTGACACGTGTAATGATAAAGCTGTTTTAATGTGTAGACGTGCAGTCCATAGAGTTATTGAGTGTGAGACGTGGCATGCATGCAAACGAATTCAAAATGGCATAAGAGGATTGCAATTCGGGAAGTTTCTTGAATCGGCGGTGATCGGTGTAATTTATCCACCGACGTGGTGATCATAGAGTGTTTGGACATAAGCCCCTGTTTGGTGGGATTAAAATAATTTTTTAAATAAATTTATTTAAAAGTTAATGAAATACGTGGTTAAAAATTTCAATCACTCTATGGGTACAGAGAATTTTTTTACAGAAATTGTACCGAAAACACACATTACGTGGGTCCCATTGTTTTTAACAATATTTAATTCATGTGGGTCCCGTCTCCTCATGTGAGAGAAATTCCAAAATCTGGAAAAATTCTGTCATTTCTTCTTGTACTTGCATCATTTTTGTAAAAATTTATACGTCCGTGTAATATATGATTAAATTAATTATTAACTTTGATTTAAAATAGAATTACGATAGTCCGTTAAAGTTCTTGTTCTTTTATTCTTGTATATTAGATTAGAACTTGAAAAATATTGTTAATCATTTGTACCACTTAGAAGTCATGTTCAAGCCAGAAGTCACGTGCCACGTATGGGCCACATTACCGTGAATAACCCAAATGGTCCTGCAAAGTGTAAACCTCTAGGTGCCTCGCCGAAGTCAGTCCAACGAGGCGAAGCCTAAGACAAAATTTGTTAACGAGTAAAGCCCCCGTTTGTCCTCCCATGGTTTGAGATTTTAATTTTTAGAATAATATTTTTTTAGAGAATGTACAGTTGGAAAAAAAAAAAAAAGAATTTACTGTTGACGTGTAATATTATTTTATTGAAGAAGGTGTAGTTAAAAAAAAGAGAGAAAAAATACATTAAAAGTTTAATGGGGTCAAATGGGGGCAAAGTTTCACTAATGTGGTTCGAGTCTTGATGAACATCTTGATGAGGAAGAGTTAGCTAAGAAGGTGGTTCGCGTCTCGACGAACCTCATGACGAGGTGAGACAAATTGAACTTTCCTCGTCCTCTACGTAGGCAAATTAAATGATCTCTATTTTCTTTGAGAAATCTCCCAAGTCTTAAAGAACTGACGAACCGTATAGTCATGTGACTTCATATTTCTTATACTCAAAGAGGCAATATCTAAAACAACAATCATGTGAAATATTGCGACTCTTGTGAAAGTTGTAACTTTTTGAAAGGGTCGTATTAACATCTATAAATTGAGATTGATGTTTACATTTTAGTATACAAGAAAATCTACCGTTGTTCTTTTTCTTAACAATTTTAAGTTCTTGTTTTTCAAAAGTCATATTTTTTTATCCAGAATATTGCATAACTCATGTGAATAATATGGTCTTGAGGACAGTGTTATCTCAAGCCCTAAATCTAATGCGATTTTGTTATGTCTCGTCATTTCAAGGGAGTACCCCCACTAACAATTTCAACACCTAGATCAAAAACACGCTTCTTTCTCTGATTGTTGCCTCACAATTTCGAAGTCTGAATATGAATGCATAAGAACAGAATAATTTTCAGTATGAAACAACCGATTTGCCTCATCAAATACTTCATCCAAATCCATCGTTGGCCAGCCACATTCACATTGCTTCATCCGTTGTGATGTTCACTGACAATAAATTGTACCTTTGAAATTGTTGTTTAGCGGGATAGAAAATCAAAAAGAGAAATGACGTGAAACGATAGTTTCGTGAGAGCTACTTTTAACGTTGAGTAGTTTGTAGACTTTTTAGCGGAAGAAAGGAGATAAAAGTCCAAGTCCGTGAGAGAACGTGCTTAAATGCCCATTTTGTAGGATTTTTACTTTTTTTTTTTTTAAGTTTCATGAGGTATCTATCTTAAGTCTATTTCCTCTAAGACCCTGTTTGTTTTGCATTATTTTTCAGGGAATTAGGAAAATATTTTCCACTTTCCATTTTTTTGGCTATTTGATATGCGAAATTTTCTACATTTAGCCCACACGTGTGCATTTTCCAACTTTTTGATTCCACGCTGGCTGGAAATTTATTTTTTTACAATGGAAACAAATGTCATAACCAATGATAAAAAAAAATTTTACTTTAATGGACAATTTCTATGTAAAACAAAGTCAAACGAATACTAAACTTTGATGAAAAAAATGATTTTTTAGGAAACAATTTTTTTCCCTTTTTTTTTTTTTTTTTTTTTTTTTTGGCAATTGAAACAAATTTTATAACCAATTTT